ACAGGGGGAGCCTCTCAAGTCAGAGGAAAAGGAATAAAGAAATGAAATGGCATTACCCTTTCCATCGGTCTTCTTCAGAGCACTGTGAGAAACTCATCCTGTCTAAGATAGGCATGAAGTGCGTTTTCTTCTTGGGGAATCTTTAGTTCTTTATGTCTAAAGAAATGCTTCATCCTACCCAAGTATGTTCTTCTACTGCAGACTGAAGCCACTCAATTATGTTCTATAATGAAGAGATGCAAGTTTGCTAACAACTTGAAACAAGCGGTATTAATGAAAGGAAGAAATTGTGACAGAATGATCAGATAGTAAGAAGATGTATAATTTCATGAAAACATACAACAGCCAGTGCACTTATGGCAATACACATCAGTAACCCACAAGCAAGTATGGTATTCAGAGTCTAACAAGCATTTCTGTCATAACATCAATCCTCAAGAGCAATGACGTAGTATGTATTGCTTCAGTGAATAATTTCAGTAAAGGTATTCTTAAAAGATTCAGATTAGGAGAAAGGTGTGTAAGAAGTTTTTCTCCACTTAACTGAGGCCATTTGAGAGAAGTACACCCTCAGAGCAGATGTGCCAGCAGGTTCATTAGCTTTACAAACTCTGGAAAAGCAGACCACTGGGAATTGCTACACAAGCACCTCCTTGTGGTGCTGAATACTCAGAGCTGAAGATGCGAAAAGGACACTGAAAATCTCTTGGGATTTTGCTTTCCATTCTCTGAGGCAAGCTCTGAGCAGATATTTATGCAGGAGTTCACTGAGGAGGAAAACTCCAGTAAGAAATTCAACCTTCGGAGGGATTGCAGAGTTGTTACCCCATATCATACCGTATCTCTTTTCAAGCTCTCAATGTTTTTCCTCAGAATGTGTAATCAGTGATTAAGATAATGAGGACCTAGTCTGAGAACAACCATAGCAATTTTTAATAAATATATATATGCTTTTGTCATAGTGCACGTACCATGGTTCTGGCTTTATCATCTTTCTACATAGCCTAATACAATTTGAGAAATCCTCCTACATATCCCCCACAGGATATCTGACACACAGATCACTTCTTAAATGTCTTAGTTGCTCAAAAATAAAGGACGAGCTACTTTTTGACAGTTATGATATGCAAATTAGTGAAAATCGGGTTCTAGAAAGAAGATCAGAGGAAAAAAAGTGTGATTTAGGTGGAATTCAAATATACTTTTTGACAAGGACTTAAAGAAAAAGTCACAGAACAGAAGTTCACTCTTCACAGTGAGAGGAGAACTGCCTGTTAGAGCCTGACGTTTATTCTTCTTTCTCAGAGGAGTTTTTCCTATTACCAGATAAAACAAAATAAAATAAAAAAGCGTTTCTCTCATTTTGAAAGATGAAACATCTTATTTGCCTGTACAGAGCTATCATCTCACAGTGATTATGTGTCCAGTGAAAAGGCATCGGCTAGTTCTAAAAAGTTCTGGCGATAATCACTTGCTTTCACATTACATACTAGATGTTGATTTGAGCCGGCAGGTAGACATTTTTTCTGTGGGGAAAAGGAAATTAAAGTCTTCTAGTAAAGTATGCAGAAGTTGAACTATATGCTTCCCTCATGAAAATCTCTCTCACTTCACAAAGAAGTACTTTAATATAGGTGATTTACTGGACTGTAACAAGATACATTATATTCTCACAGCAAAAATGAAGTGGTAAGATAGCAGTTTCCACAAAGGGTGGCAGGAGAGGCTTCTAAAACTAAAAGATGAAACGACCACTCTTCTGACATTGCTGTTCAGTTGCACAGATGTTGCTAAAAATCTGAAGAGCAGTATTGTCTAATGCAAGATGAAGAAACCAGAACAGGAGAGTTAGCAAAAGGATTGAAGGAAAAAAAACACCTGTTTCTTTGACTCAATGATTTTATTCAGTTTCTGTCCTTTGTATCAATGCCAGTGAGAGAACATCCCTGAAAAAGACTGGTTAATCAGGGCCTGACAGAGTCAAAAGCTTTGAAAGCTACGAGTTCATTGTAAAAAACATAAAGATGGCCAGTGCTGCCTCTTTAAGGCTTTTCAATGATACTTTCCTACATAGTTTAAAAAGTTAGCTGAAAGTACATTTTTTCTGTTTTTAATTCTAATCATTTCTTTCTACAATAAAATCATTTCTTCATCATCCACAAGCTACAGTGCCAAATGGAATCCACCCAAGGGTGCTGAAGTTACTGGCAGAAGCGATTGCCAAACCAGTGCCAATAGTGTATCAGCAGTCCTGGCTACACCAGGAGGTCCCAGCTGGCTGGAGCACAGAGAACATAACATCCATCTACAAGAAGGGCACGGAAGAGGATTTGAGGAATCACAGGCTGCCAGCCTGAGCTCAGTGCCAGGGAAGGTCATGGAGCAGATCATCTTAATTTGCCATCACACGGCACATCCAGGACAATCAGGTTAGCGAACTCACTCACCATGGGTTTGCAAAAAACAGGTCATGCCTGACTAACCTGATGTCTTTCTAATATGATGAACTTAGGGGATGAGGGAAAGGCTGTGGATGTTGTTTGCATGGACTTTAACAAGACATTTGGTACTGTTTCCCACAGACTTCTCTTCAAGAAACTGCTGATGGTTTCTCATGCCTTGGACAGGTGCACCGTTTGCTGGCAGGATGGCCAGGCCCACTAGGTCACTGTGAATGGAGTTCTGTTTGGTTTGATAGCCAGTCTGTAGTCTGTAGTGGTATTTCTCAGGGTACTGGATTCAATTTTAACATTTTTATCAGTCAATCGGATGAGGGGATCAAGTGTACCCTCAGTGAGTTTACAGGCAACAACAAGTTAGGCAGGAACTGCTTGAAGGTAGGAAGGCTTTACAGGGATCTGGATAGGCTAGATCAATGGGTCCTGTCCAGTCATATGGCATTCAACAAGGCCAAGTGCTGGGTGCTAGGGTCACAATAATCCCATGCAGTGACACTGGCTTAGGGCAGAGTGACTGCAAAACTGTGCAGAGGAAAACGATGTGGAGGTGTTAGCTGACAACCAGAAAAAGGTTCTCAAACAGAAAAAAAACAAAAAGGGTCTGTTCATGTACCTTGCATTAATAAGTAACTGCACTTAGATTTCTTCTTGACCTAGTCTGGCCTAATTCTGTATTTCTGCTTACAAATGAATATAACAAAATTGTAGGGCAAAAATCAGTGAAGAAAGCGCTGCAGGAAGTTCACTTTGTTCCTCAGTCAATTTGCTGGACAAGTTGACAAATGAGAAATGATCACGTTAGAAACAACAACGTCAACTTCGTCCACAAAAAGCTTACTGGAGGCAAAACCTCATAAATACTATTAGTTAAAACAACATAAAAATATAAATTTCCATTTCATCAAGGTTAGACAGTCTTGTATGCTGAGAATTTCTCTGACATGGTTTTAAACTGAAGGTTCTGATGCTAGGAGATGCATCTCTGCTGGCCCTCGGAGATACAAGAAACTCTTGGACAAAGACTAGCTGGTCTTACTACTATGCCATTTTCCTATTACAAGAAATACATACCACAAAGACAGCTATACCATAAACAGTAACTTCTTTTTATAATATCCCTGTCTTGTGTAAGCAATACCTGTGTCTCTAATATCAAAGTTAATGTGATCACATATTGAAAAAATGCTTGGTACAAGCACTGACAGGCAAGAATAGAAACTGGTGCACTTAGTGATCCTCCTATTAAAATATTGCTCAGGTATGGGTAATTAATGGAAAAAAAAATTGAAAAATGACATTCAAGGCTTTAAAATTCATCATGAACAGATGATGTGGGCTGAATCCTTGTTAAGTAGATATCATTATATTTCAATGTCTTTTGTGATTATGACAAGATAATCATCTCCTCTGAACAGGGCATTTTAAGGTTTAGAGAAATAGTGTACAATTTATTAAATAATCTATCAAATTATGTATGAACTTTGCTTTCAAAAGAAATCCTATGATCTCATTAAAGTAATTACAGAAAATCTGCCTGATATAAATAACTAGTACCAGCACCACTGGTATACAACTGAGAGAATAAGAAATTGTAGGAACTTCCAGTATTCAAAAGGTGATAGGATAGCTTTGTTCTCTTAAGATAGTCAATAGACATTTCTATGTTAAACATCCTGTGTGCAGAATCAACTTTTGAATCACAGCCTTCAAAATGGAGGGAAATGCAACCACTCTGTAGCTATGCTAATAGGAAATAATCTGGATATGTTTATTACAACCTCCTTTCTCCTTCCTTTCCTCACACTTTTTTTTGCTTCTTCCTCTTAATTGTTATTGAAGAAAAGAAACAGGAAGAGTAAAAAAAAAACAACAAACAAACACAACTCTTCTAGCCAGCATAACGATTACACAGAAGGAGAAGCAAAGGAAAAAATAAATAGGAATTGTCTTAACTTTTTTGTTAGATTTTTTTTTTTAGAAGAGCATGGGCAAATAAAGGAGATGAATAATTCTTAGGATGATAACCTGAACCAGAGAAACCACCAATTTTAAATGTCATTCCAATTTCAGTTTTCTATACTTGTGCTTCTTCTAGGGAAACATAGGGCTTTCCAGAGCAAAACTGGATGCTTGGTGAGAAGAATCTACATACAAACGAACTTCAAATACAGAATAGCATTTTATTTATCATGAAATCAAAGCCTGCAGTTCTGAGCAGCTATTTAACGATACAAAGCTGACTCTTCCAGAAGGCTTTCAGGAAACTGCTTCAGTACTTCATAAAGCCGAAGTACTAAACAAATACATAAATAACATGAGTTAATTCAATAGCTGAGGAGGGAAGTGAAATAGGAAAAACTCAGATTTAAAAACAGAAGCCTTCTCCAGAGAAATCAACTGAAGTTTAAAGACATGGAATTTAACTCCATATATTTTGTTTTCAAAATTCTTTCATACTCCCAAACAGTCCAAAAAAAATATCAAATGATAAGAAAAACCTGGAAAAACCTGGAATTTCAAAATGCTTAGAAGCAGACTCACCAGTCTCTTTATAATTCTCAACAGAACCTTCCGATGCCGTGTATCTTTTCTGGATTGCAGCACTTCAGCAAAGCTGTCCATGTTTTCTGGAGACATGCTCTCCTGACTGTTGCCTCCGTAGAGCTGAACCAGCAGTGATAAGCACCGTGAGGCATACTCAAATGTTTCAGTATCTTCACTGGGAAGCTAAAAATGAACAAACAGAAATCAAATTCCAATTCCACAAAAAACTGCGTATCATTGAAAATACAGAAGGGTATTACCATGAACACTGAGGCAAGAAAGAGTCGTTTCTAGTTGATTGACTCAACATTCCATTAAACTAAGCTGTATTAAAGTGATGAAAGTATAATTAAATTATATCTGCTCTTAAGCAGCAGTATAACTGCGCCTTTGCTATAATGATATCAAATGCAATATCTATACCGACACCGTAAAAGCACTCCAAAGGTTGCTCCCAACTCTCTTATTTTCAGATCATAAATTTAGCTTTAAAATAGAAGCAGTAAGATCAGAAAGTATTATTACAGTCATGATATCTAATCTTCTGAATAATGCATACTGTAAAACTTCATCTAATTATTTCTAAGCCAAGTTTATAGCTTCTGGTTGAGGTAGAGCACCTAGTTATTCAAAGGGTTTAAGGAAGTCACATTAGCAGGTGTATTTTGCAGATTGAATTTTTTTCTTTTTTTTGAGCTCTTTTCTGAATTCTAGCTTTTCTGTATTGCTTTAAGAGTGGACACTGGAGCGGGTCCTGGCAATGGGACAGAGAAACCCTTGGGAAGCAAAATAATGGAAAAGATTCAGGGATATGGTTACTAGTCATCTTTAAATGACCTTCTGGTAGTATGACAGCACTGTCAAAATCATTTATATCCTTCTTGAACAAACAGTCTGGAAATCATAAGCAGAGAGATGACATTATGTTTGGTTTTGGCACTGGAGGAATAACACCAGGAACAAAATGCCTTCTTTTGGTGTACCCTGTTCAAGAAAGCCAGTGAAAAAATTATAGAAATTTCTTGGGAACAGTTAAGAGGGTGATAGACTGAATTGGAAAACTGAACAGGTTAAGACTGAAGGAACTCAATATATATAGCCTATTAAAGGGAGGGTTAAAGGGCACTATGATTATATTCTTTTCCTCCATGTGAGGAAAAGAAGGCTGAGGATAGGTTAATTTCTATGCATGGAAAAGGACTGGTAAGAGATGATGGCTCGAAACCTTATCTAAAGCAATTGAGATTAGAGGGAAGATTATAACTTGATTTTCTTTTTATTCCTTCTTACTTTAATAAAGGCAATTAGCCACTGAAACAACTTCCTCGGAGCTGAGACAGATTCCCTATTGCAGAGAATTTTTATATCACAATAATCTTTCTTTTTTTTAAATAGTAATAATTTTTTAAAATCTCTTTGCTACAGTGAAGAATTAACATAGAACAGTCCTACATCTTGTGTTATAAAAGATAGTAGGCCAAATGATTACAACAGCCTTTTCTGGCCTTACAATCTGTAAACAGAACAAAACGTACCACTGCTTTTCTTACCAACAAGGTATGGAAGTGTGAAAACATTTTATTACTCCTACTCAATTTCTTAATTCCAAAAACATGATCTAATCACTAAGAAGCTATATTACCATATGGTTACAGCCTACCCTTACCAACAAGGTAAGGAAACAATCTGTCCAACCATTTATATAATATCCCCAAACAATTCCAGTAATGATTACTTATTTAAACTGAAGTATGAACTTCCCCATTTTTTCATTTTAAGGAAAACCCATACAGTTACTTTAAATAATCTGGAAACATATCATCAGATGAATACTCCTTAAATACCCAAGCAGCAGATCCCCAGGGATCTGCATGCAAATTCAAATCTGCTTTCCATTAGCTTCACAGAACTGGCTGTTTAAAATAGACTGAACTGAGATGTAAGCTCTGAATACATAGCCCCGAGACATATCACATTCTATTTGACCTAGTGCTATGCGAGTGACAGGACCACAGCAGCTATTTCTTTCACATCTTTGCTGTATGTTTTCTCTTCATTTCTGTCTAGGTGATACACATTGGATTGCTTCTTTTCCAGTATCCGGAATTATATCACCAACATAAATAGGAAGGCTTCAAAGGGGGAAAAACTACAAACAGTAACAAGCTTTACAGCTCTATTTATATCTTCAGTCCTTATCAAGCCAAAAAGAATTCTGTTGATCTCACTGGAGGTTTTGAGTTTACTTTTACTTCCTCCACTGAAGAAAAATTTGACTAGATAAATGATGGGAAAACTACGCTGCTTTAATGTATCAGTCTTATTCTTTTTGAAAGGGGCACTCTCTAACTCACAACTGGTTATTGGGTAAGTCCAAGCAGGTAAACTAATAGCTTCCTGAAATCACAGAACATGAACTATATTCAATTTTCAAGTGTGGTTTGTTGAATAATTAAGAAAAAAGGACAAATTTTAAAATCAAAAACAGTGAACATTTGCAAAGATTACATCCTTGCCTTGGTGCTGCAGTGTAGGCTAGCTTCCTGATTTCCATAAGCACAAAATTCCACGCATAATCTATATTCTCAGTAGCCATACTTGGAAGTGAGATTTTTCCCAAGGTCTTTCGTCTGAGATATTCACTAAACATCAAACTGAGGAAAAGAAAGGTGTCAGTCTTTGCAGAGGACTGCTCCTACAGAACCTTGCATGAAGAAACACAAAATGGTTTTGCTTGCCTCCTCCTGGCATAACCAACCTTTTACCATTGTTGCTGGCCTTTTTTCCCTCAAAAGGGAACAAGAGAAAGAAAGACTCTAAAACTCTCCTTCCAGTATATCCTGGCATCAGACATTCTCACTCTTTACAAGTTATCAAGCTGTCAGCAACCATCCTCCAAACCCAGCCACTGGCATCACTCCAGGGTTCTCACTGTTTGCCAGCTGTGGCATAATGCTATTCATTCACAAATGCTAATAATGTCCTTCATCCTCTGTTGTATTTCAGGCTCTTCTGCTTCACAAGAGACCCTTTGAGCTTTGGTGTTACCTGCAGTTTGGGGAGCAAGTTGCTGTCATCCTGGAAAATTGTGGGGCAAAACACAGCAAAGGTTTTGAAAGAAGACAACAACAATCTGGGATCAGAAAAGATGGGATTTACTCTGGAGTGGCTGTGAAGCATTGACCTACAGTCTAACCCATCAATAATTAAGCAGGGAGAGGAACCGTCCTTCAGCAAAGCACTTACACAGAGAAAAATGCTTATGCATACATGCTCATAAGTCCTACCATTAGACTATTTTTGTAGTAACAAGTAGTGATTCAGATGTTGTGCTATAAGCTGGTACCCTGAAATGTAACACTGGCTGCCAGTCTGTGTTAGCACTTTCATTAAGGGTAACAAAGAGCAGAGGATCTGAAGAAAATTGTTGGCATGAACAAAAGCAATGACTGAAAGTATAATAAAGAAAGATAGTAAAGCAATGAATGAAAATTCAGCTTTCAAGCAAATAGTATCGCATGCCTAATAGAACAGAAAAGCTAGAATAATAATGCCAGACAAAAGAATATCGATGGTTGGTCCATCTCTTAATAAGCTGGAATAATGCTCTCATTTTTCTAATCAATTCGATATAAGGAAGCATATTCCAAATCTAATGCATTTCTAGCTTTTTGTGGCAGTATCTACTTCAGTTTTTATTCTCTGAGGGGACCAGAAATGCATGAGAAACTGGAGTTCTAACTCTATGAGAAAAGATCTGCACCCTAATATTTCATGATTACAAGAATGAACTCTAGTTGGCTTTCATTTCTTTTTTGCTTGATCTTTGAGGGGATTTCAGAATCAGCAAGGTAGAAATACTACTATTCTTACTCCATAAAGCTGTTAATATTTTGTGCTAGAGGGCATCCTGAAAAAACATTCAGCATCCTAAGATAAATTAAGGAACGACTGAACTCATCATTTTTGCCGTTCTACAGCTAAGAACTGTAGGTTTGTTTGGGGCTTTTTCAGTTCAAAATTTTAAAAGAATGCCTCAAGACAAGATTTTTGTGCAATGAAGATTTTGTATTACTTTTACCTAATTTTTATGGCCAACGTATAACCTCTTGTTAAGGGGCTCATAACATAAAACTCCTTTTCTAAATGGAACCTGCTCTCTGTACCTTAATAATTAATGGGCTGAAAAGCAGGTTTCTTATTATTATACATCTATACTTCTGTAGTTTGTTGTCAAAAACACCTTCATTTTGAGCCCAGTTGCAGTATGTCCATGAACTGCGAACAACTACAAGAAATGTGTGATCCTTTTGGCTGAAGTGGCAGTTTTCACACCCTTATAGTTGTTACAGCATCTAATTTTAGAGCTACAATGAAACTGTCTGGATTACCCAGAGGGGACACCATTTCAGTGCATTAATGAGGTTAAACACAAAGTGAGTTTATTACAATAAGAGATAGATATTCATTGAACCATGAATGGGATTACAGAAAGTGTGGCACAGGAATCACCACTGGGAACTACAGAGGAGATGATTCTACAGTCATCAAACAAAATGTAAAAGCAAAACACTACTATTAAATCTGCTACTGTACTGTTCTTATTAGTAAAAATGCGTAGTTTAAAATTAAAGCAATATATTTTGGCTCGGGGCAAAATTTTTTGTCCTATTCCTCAAGGAAAATAATTTTTAAAACAGTATATTTTCAGTTCATATTAATCCAGTCTAACTGCTGAAAAACTAAGTTCCCATTCTTAAGTTTTGTTCTTTTAACAATATATTCTTATTTCCTCTGTTGTTTTGATTGTTTGGTTAAGATGCCTTTGTGGAAGAGAATTCTTCAAATACATTCCAGAGACATTTCAAATATAATCACAGCAATATCACAGTGAGGTATTACGGGATATAATGGGTTTGACCAAGGGCAGGTCCTGCCTGACCAACTTTATCCCATTTTATAATGGTGTTACTTTGTTTGAATGAAGGAAAGGTCACTGATATCATCTATCAGTACTTCAGTAAGGCCTTTCACACAGTTCCCTGTAATATGCTTCTCTCCAAATGGAAAGGAATGGATTTGATAGGTGGGCAGTCTGATGGACTGGATGTACGATCATATCCAGAGAGTGATGGCCAATGGCTCAATGTCTGGATGGAGACCAGTGACAAGTGGTGTCCTTCAGGGCTCAGATCTGGAACTGGTGCACTTTAGTATCTTCATTAGTTACATCAACACTGAGATCAAGTGCACCCTAAGGAAGCTTGCAGAAAAATGCTAAGCTCCCACCAAAAAGGACCTGGGGGTACCGGTGGATGGCAAGCTGGACATGAGCCAGCAGTGCGCCCTCACAGCCCAGAAAGCCAACTGTATCCTAGGCTGCATTCAAAGAAGAGTGGCCAGCAGGGTGAGGGAGGTGATCCTGCCCCTCTGCTCTGTGCTGGTGAGGCCTCACCTGGAGTACTGCATCCAGATGTGGAGACCACAGTACAGGAGAGACATGGACCTGCTGGAGTGCATCCAGAGGAGGGCCACCAAAATGATCCAAGGGATGGAACACTTCCCTTATGAGGACAGGTTGAGGTTCAGCCTGGAGAAGAGAAGGCTCTGGGGACACCTGAGAGTGATGTTTCAGTATCTGAATGAGAGAGAGAGCTATAAGAAAGAAGGGGACAGACTCTTTAGTGTGGTCTGTAGTGACAGGACAAGGGGAAATGGTTTCAAACTAAAAGAGGGGAGATTTAGACTAGATATGAGGGAAAAGTTTTTTACAATAAGAGTGGTGAGGCAGTGGAGCAGGTTGCCTGAAGAGGTGCTGGATGCCCCATCCCTGGAGACATTCAAGGTCAAACTGGACAGGGCTCTGAGCACCTGATGTAGCTGTAGGTGTTCCTGTTCACCATAAGGGAGTTGAACTAGAGTCCCTTCCAACTCAAAAGATTTGATGACTGTGTGAATGCATTTTGCAGTACAGATTATAAAGCTATGTCTTCCCTCTCCAACTACAGAACTGTCTGTATTCCTAAGAAATGCGAAATGAAATTCTTCACAGCCTGTAAGATTATTATTCTGCAGTTATTTTCATTATTCATTGGCAAATATCTCTCACATTCTCTGAAACCTAAGACAAGACACAGTCTTAGAGCCAGGGGAACACTGAAAAAGAATGGACCTAGCAGGACAAGGGGAAATGGTTTCAAGTTGAGGGAGGGAAGATTTAGGTTGGATGTCAGGGGGAAATTCTTTACTATGAGATAGTGACGTACTGGAACAGCTGCTCAGAGAGGTTGTGGATGCCCCGTCCCTGGAGGTGTTCAAGGCCAGGTTGGACGGGCCCTGGGCAGCCTGGTCTAGTATTAAATGGGAAGGTTGGTGGCCCTGCATGTGGCAGGAGGGTTGGAGATTCATGATTCTTCCAACCCTGGCCATTCTGTGATTCTGTGACCTAGAAAAGATCAAATCGTTCATTATGTACACCGAGGTTCTGTATTTGTCCTCTTTATATTTGCACATGATTAATTTGTCATTCAGTAGTAAACCCAGACGTCCTGAAGACAATAACCAATTAAAAATTTTACTAGTTACACCATAATGCAGAAACCTATTACCAGAAGACAAGAAAAGTTCTCTCTCGGCAGTCTAATAAGCTCAGAAATTTAAGGGCCTACATCTAGGATCTAAATTTATAGAGAAACAAAACTCCAGTTTACAGGTACTGGCAAGGTAGTACAGCCATTCCAGCTGTCTGAAAAGCTCAGTCAGCATAAAGGAAGCTATCATGTATAATCCGAGCCCTCTAAATTAGCAGCATAAATATTGCAGTATGCTAAGAGTTATGGAAGCCCATGTAATGAAGAATACCATGCTATTCATCTGCTGTGCTGATCAGATTAGCTAATGAACATTCAGAAGTAAATGTTTGTCCTTTTTTTAATTATGAAGTTTGAAATAGTTTCTGAAAATCTGCTGAAGTGATTTGAAACATCAGCAAACATTTAACTTCCAGAATAACCATTATGCAAAAATAGTAGAAGGGACTTTATGTATTCCGTAATTGCTGCAAGTTTCAGTATAATAATCAAATTAGATTTATGTTCAAGCGGAGAAACATTAGACAAAAAAGCTAAGTTTAATTAACTTTTAAACATGAAGCTGCTAAGCAGAAGACTAAATGGTCAATTTATTTTCCTCTTATTGATCAATTAATGGCAGACTGATCATGGGATTAAATATTGAATTCTCTATATCTGCAGTGTTTTCTGCATGACAGAATTTGTAATTATTTCTTCTTTCACGTTCTTAACAACCCTGAAGTTTCATTTACATGCAATCTAGGTTTCCTACACTTGCTTTCTTATGCCCTATGTGGTAGCCTAAATCATAATTACAGAAAGGAAAAATTGATTCCAAGTTTTTGACATTTTCAAGCTTAACTCCATTGATTTTTGAGGGATTATTAAGAGAGATAAATAGATCTTCAAGAAAACAAATAAATAAATAGCCAAATCAATGGGGCACGGAACAATCATCTACTTGAGGGACATGCGTATCAGTGAGGGATAGCAATTATTCAAGGTGACATAAGAAACTATAAATATGGTAAGAAGAGTAGGAGTGGTAAACTAGAGGAAAAAAAATGAAGTGATGGTTATTTCAGAATTAAAGACATACTTTATCTCCTGAGAATGAAGCTCACAAAGAATGAAATGCCTCAAAACAGAATAAGTTCATGAAGCCTCACAGTTCAGTACAGAGCACTACTCTTGGTAGCATCACAGAACTTAAGCTCAGGCTGGTCTGTTGGTGAGGCAGGGACCATATGCCATCTTGAGAGGTCCACGAGACTTTATGACTGTGCTGGCAGCAAGACACAAGAAGGTGGTCACAGTTAGGTTGGAGATGGGAATAGTTAAGGTACTGTAAGCACCAGGTACCAGTATGCTATAAAGGAGTAACTGTGTGTAGAAGAACAAGGAGTTAGTATTCACCAAATGCAGTATTCTTCTTAAAGAATAAACTACTTATTGGACTGCATGATGAGTGTGGGTCAATGATGTACTGGTACACCAGCCATCAGCTGTGTACATCAGCTTGCGACATTCCCCAAGCATGGCTATTCTCTCTCCAGAGTCAGTACAGCTCAGTGGTAGAAGATGCTTCCCTGCAAAGAGGTAGTCAAAACTCAATCCCTGCACATGGCACTTTAAAAAGACATCATAATAAATTAGCATTTAAAATAAATCAGCAATTTCCTTCCTTCTTACCATGCAAACACACTTTTCATATCTTTCATACTCTGGTATGATAAGAACACCCGCAGTGGCAGCTATTGAGGGTAGCTCTAAATCAGTGACACAGTTTTCTCACTAGCCCTTGCACCTGTATGCAAAAGCACCAGGAGAAACAGACTACAGAAGCGGTGCACTAAGAATTTATTCCTATGAAAAGGAATCACATTTAGATTATCTTTAACAGAACTTAACACCAAAGAAATGAAGAAGCACCAATGCTCTTTTCTCTTCACCTCATGTGAAAACAAGCAGATTTTACATAAGTATTTTCAACATACTGGAATACGTAGAAATAAAGAACAAAGCAAAACCTAGTGATAATTTGCAGCCACACTTCTGAAATACAGGGGCAAGTCAGAATCTAATCAGTACATGCAAAGAGTACAATTATCCCATCCTTTAATTACAAACTTTTAAAAAAAAGAAAGGAAGAAAGAAGGAAAGAAATACTTCCAGGTGGTACAGGCTGAGTTAAGCCTGGCCTCTAATTTTCTATTCTTTAGGGAGTTAATGTAATTTAAATTTATGTCTAACTTCATTTTAAAGGGGCGTTTGCATCTCTTACTATTTATCTTACATTTTTAAGTCTTACTATTTATAAGTCTTGCTATTTATCATACATAGTGATTAAAAATTAATAGAAAGTAAATTGAAAGAGCTGAAAAAGATTAAATGCTACACAGTTGAAATTCACTCACTTTGTTTCAGGTCATTCAGTGAACATTTCCAAAAAGTCACTTTTTGGATTAAAATAAATTCATCATAATGCAAAATTTAATAAAAAAAAAAGTGCCACACTCTTCCCCAAAATAGAGGATGGATCATGCTAAAGGTATGAAAAGCACTACAGATATTTATATCACAATATAACCTATACTTAGGTGCTAAGGAACAGTTCCAAGCCTGGGGATGGAAGAGTACACAATGAATCTGAAATACCTCTAAGAAAAATGACACAGAAATGATAGTGTGATATGCCACTGGGAAATTCTCCAACACCATTTTCCTTGCTTTATGTTGAGTAAAAGGCAGAGGTAGCATTCCAGGCCCCTAAAAGCCCTGCTCAACTCAAGAAGCATTCCTCTGCACTAAGCTATCACACACGCAGCCAACACAAGTCTCTGGCACAGCGTGATGGAGTCTGAGCTGGTGGGATGCACCAGGGATGCTGTAGCTTTCTGCAGAGATTTCAATGCAGCACCCTGATGTCTAGCAAACTCTGAAAAAAATGGACTTTAAACAGACTTAAAAGATGATTACAGGCCACTAGGGATCATTCCCACTCCTAAATCATTCACAATCACATTAGAATCAAACTAAACACTTGAAAAAAACACAGGAAGGTCAAACCCAAGAAAATAATATTAAAAGTGATCACTCGATGCAAGATAATTTTAAGTTTAATGACAGTTCTACTGGTAGTTGTAGTTGCTTTGGTAATTTTGAATATAATCCTTTCTCTGTACATTAGTCCATTCTTTGGGCTACAATTTGCATACACATATTCATCACACCCAAGAATCTGGAGCCTGCCCTTGGCCCAGTTCTAGGTTTGGGCAGATGTCACTTGTGGCCTGTAAATCCTGCAAAAACTGTAAGAGTCTTTGTCTTATGTTAGGTAGAAGCTCAAAAACAGCAAAAAAACCTGTCAAACACAGCTCTAAGATGCTGAATTCAGTTGAGTAATTCCAACTTCAGCGACATTCCAATAGGCTTCCAAACAAGTAAATTCTCACCAGTTGAATAAGCAGGCTAATTAGGTCCGTCAGGGGTTTATTGATAAGCAGAAGATCTTCAGCAGCCTGCGTGTCCCCTCCTGTGCCGGATTTCTGTGCCTTAATAAGATGAGGGGAAAAAAAAACAACAAAATACCCTCAGTGACTGTTCAGTTATGAGAAACAAATCAGGTTGATTAGGTGGTCAATATTTGAACAAAAGTTCGAAGGAAAACTATATACTCCCTGTGTCTGCAACACTAAGCACAAACAAAAGCAACTCACACTGCCTCAGCTGTTCTGCACAGGCTGAACATAGCCACCTAAGTGATATTCACTCAGCTAAATGATATGAACTGTATACTCAAAAGATACTTCTAAAGCCGTAAATGTTTTATGTATTTGTATTCCACTTCAACAAATCTATCTTAATAAGAAAATTCACTCATTTTTTTTTCTTCCATTATTAGAAATAATTTTAAGCACAACTCAAAAGAAGAAAAACAAGATAACTGAGAGGTTATGATTCTCAGCAGCTATGTCCACCTTTGCCCTTCTGACTTGCTTTGCATCCTGAAATATTCACAATACATAAATAGTTTATATTATTTTAGAAATGGGAATAATAAAATCTGAAAGTGTTATAAGACCTGTTACTTCTTGGAATACCGATCATTGTCTTCCCCTTCACTGAAACAGGCTGCCATCTCAGGCAGTGCTAGTATGACCCGTCTGTGCCCCAGGGTACCAGCAAGGTCTTCTTGCAAGGTTTTTCATTTAACTCCACCATCTTGCAGCAGCTTTGGATTGTGACCCTGCAGAGTATAGCTGCTAGAGGAAAACTTAAGCATTTTATCTAGAGGACACATTTAAAATTCATTTTGTATTGCGTTTCATTTAAAGTGCAATCCTTAAGCCATCACCCAGGTATAATAACCAAGGATTTTTGTTTGGTTAAGTGAGCACAAGAGCAGATCCCCAGAGACAGGAGACATTACTGCTAGAGCTGCACTGTTTATTTTGATGAGTTGAACACACAACGCCTTTCTTTCAGGAAGAGTTCAGAAATAAAGGAGCCCCGAAGAGCCATTTCTCAGTAATAAGACACATTGGTATGTCCCCCACTGGGACTCACCACACTGCAAAAGTCCAAGAAGGGCAAATAGACATAGTGCACAGAAGAAATAAAAAAATGAGTGTTTATAGTAATCAAGAAAGCCAAGTAAGCTGCCTTCACTTCAGCAAAATTTAAAACAGATTTTTCTGTTCAGTGTTTGAATCGGAAGTAATACGTCCTCCATCAGGGATATCTGACTGCTTCAAGTGGTATGTACTTAGTGTCTTTGAAAAGAGAATAAATAACACACACTAGAGGAATTATACTCTATGTATATAAAGGATGCACACCACACTTAAACCTACGCTAAGTCACTAAACAGCAAGTTTACTTCTCAAATGCAGCTACTTTGGATCACCTGTGGAACACAATATGACAAAACTGCTCCAGAAACAGATATCCAAATTAATCCAAACCTTAGTAATATTCTATTATAATACATATACTTGGACTACAGAGGACAAAGTCTTGAATGAAGCCAGATATAGTTATCAGCACCATCCAGCACAAAGTAGTGAAATGGGAAGGAAGTGTGCTCTCACGTTTTTTCTACCCAGTTGGATAAGGCCATCACTTTACATATAAAAAAAAACAACAATAAAGATTCAGGTGGATAACAGTGGCATCATCTGCACATGTCAGCTTAAGGCCTCAGTAATGGTATTATGAGAAAACTTGATTCCCTAGTGCCGTTCTAGAAGGTATCTTATGCAGAAGATTCCCTTGAAAACAAAGAACATTTGTTACCATTACTGTGATCCATTAAGTGACACAGAGATAAGGGAATATGCTGCAAATGCATGGTAAATAGCAACTAATTGCCATCATTCAACAGGGCTTGCATACTGAGGTAGCTGTAGAACCCAAAGGAACCCACTGATGACTACCGCTGAGACCACTATGTCAGGGCAAGGGACCTCACCTTAAAGATAATTTCACAGGGGTACAGGGCAGAGCTACACTTCACAGTGCCAGCTGCCTCTTATCCATTAGTCTTCCAAAGCAAACCAGATTACTTTGACTGAAGTTGTACAGAACTGGGGTTTATCAACCAACTGATGTATTCATGTAAAATCAGAATCAAGTGTGGCAATGAATGCATAGATTTAAGTTAGAATTAATGTATCTAAATAAAAGTAATGAGTTTCACTAATATTACTGAACTGTGTACAAGGTTCTCTCTCCTCATATGCACTCCAGTATAATTGGCCTCAACACTTGCACAGAGCACAAGTACAGAGCTTGGCTCTCTATGATTACATAGGCTGTTGCTAACAATATGACAATCAGCAATTAGCTTACAAAATTTGATTTGCAAAGTGATTCTTAGATGTGAAACCCATTACAGAGCCTGCTGCTAGAGGACTTGAAAAAGCCAAGGTATTGTACCCTCAGATCTGAAGTATGTTTTTTCAACAACAAAAACATTCTTAATGAAATATCTGTTTGATTACAGCTGATTATTTAAATCTATGCAGAAAAAAAAGTTCAATTTTCAATACTTACTTCATACTTTAAACTTCCTTAAAAAACCCCCACAAGTATAAGAAGGCCCAGCTCTGATACACAGTACAACCTGGCAGCTGAATCTTCTGAATCTCTGTCCTCCAGATATACTGGATGTAAGAGCATTCTCTGTTCTTTAGTGGAAAATGAATTTTTAAAGTACTGTTTATAGCCCAAATACAGTAGTTGCTTTCAGCTGATGAACTACAGCAATTTGGTGGATCACTTAAAAACAAAGCAAGCATTGCCAGTTTAGCATCATATCTGAGAAAGGACAAAATATTCTTCCTGTTTTGTTGTTAGAAGTGTTACATGCAATTTCTTTGATTAGTATCTTTTTGTGCTCCATTTTTAAGGAAGAGGAAGACTTCACTGGGAGAAGAAGCCCTATTAATGCCACGTTTTGCAGTGGTTCAAAGGGAAAGTTAAAACACTAGCAATGTAAGCACGTCGATGCACATGCAGAGGTTGCATACTCTTCAAGCACAATAATCACATCTGATTCATAATGAAAAGGAACTGCTTTTTGCGGAGTAATTTTTTTTCTTTTAACATGAAGTGAAGGAAAAGACTTTGAACTATCACTGAGAAAACGTTGCATTAGGCTGTTTGCAGAGTACAGACATGGAACATGCAGCTAAGACCTGTGTTCCCAGCACAGTGGGGCTAAAATGAATTTTCTAGCCAGGCAAATACACACACAGGGGCAAGCAGCTGAAAATACACACTCTTCCCTTTCCACCAAACTAAAAATGTAATGAAATGAGAGTAGTGGTAAATTCACCAATAGCATTACGAGAAGGTATCTAAAAAAATGTTTAAGATGGTTATCACCCCCAGGAAATGAACTCCATACCTGCAAAGTCTGGCGCACAATGTTTGTTGTGTACATCAGCATGCAGTGCAAAATGTCAAGCAAGGACAGCAGCAGTGCATTTGCTGTCTTGGTGCTGCTTTTATCATCTGCCTCCAAGTACAGAGCCACAGTTTCTATTAGGAGATTACAGATGTGAGGAGCCAGTCCTACGCAGACAGTGAGACAAAAGGGAAAAAAAAAAGGCTATCAGGAAAAAAAAACAATTGAGAAGGTAGGCCAGATAAAAATAGTTGATTACAGAAAAACAAATTTCACATCACGATGAATATTTATTAATATTCCTTTTTTTCCTTCCATTATTATAATTACCGTCTCCTTTATTCTATTTGGAGCAGCTCATAAAGAGAGCTAAGCTGATACAATCCAATTCTCTAAGTGCACAGAGCATTATGTAACACTCATTAAACAAAAGCATAACAGGAATCCCAAACTTTTCTGTATCAAGAAAGAGACACGAGTTTCCTTCACATTACCCCTGGTCACAAGGACCAGACAGTTCCTCCAGAGTGCAACAGAACCAGGCAGCAGCTATATCAAGGTTGGAGCCTGAAGTTTTCTTTCTTAATTGGTCTGCCAATTGCAACCTTCAATTTCAACTGTTTAATTGAATAGTGTTTGAACAATTGAGCAATTGAACGCGTAGTATGAAATAGTTATGCAAGATCATTATGAAGGAAATACCAAATTCTATACCTAAAATGCATTTCAGACCCATTTGACTAGTGATAGTAAAAAGTTTCCTGAAAATACATCCTTGCCTTGAAGATTTTTTCCAGCACCTTTGGTATTCAGTAACATCATCTCCTGTAGCTTGCTTAACCCACAAATCAATTCACACATCAGACAATCCATTTCAAGGAAATACCGACTCAGTTCAGAATCCAGCTTACTTTCAAACACAAAGTAACTGAGTTCATATTATTTAATCTTAATCTTGTTCTTACAGGGTTTCATGAGGAATGAAAAACACTTTGTGTTTCACCCAGAACATAATTAATTTGTAAACTATCTTTCTTTAAATTGGCAATTAGTCGTGCTCTGACTTGGGCACACATGTCATAGCACTTCAGCATCTAAGGTTTAGTCCCTGAGACTACCAAAATCAAGAGAAGAGAATCTGTATCTCACTGAAGAGACTGCTTTTATAACATTTCCTTTAAAAAGTAATTGTTTGTTTGTTTCTTTACAAGCATCAGTACCAGAATAAGACATTGTAGAATATCCTGTGCAATTACACCACTAAGCTTTTGCTGGTAGACAAATCTATGGGATGACTATTTTTTGCTTTGAAAGCTTCCCCATCAATTACTTGAGCTTCCAAAAAAGTGTTCCTCTCCTATTCACTGACGTTAATACATCCCTCAGGAAATTAAGTACAAAAACATTCATTCAGAATACAGTTACAGGTCAGGTTTGTTAAGACTTGCACTATTATATCTCACATCTTTGTGTGTTTTTATGATTATCAGCACTATTCTCCCACAATAGTTTGATTGATGGACCACGGCTCAGGCTGAGCTTTGAATTTCCTGTGTTTTTGTCTGCATGAACCACACTCTCAAACTGTATCAGTTCAATCTTACACATTTAATTTCCTCCTCCTTTTTTAAAGTACAGTTTCTGCTGCGGTTCTGAACACTTCACACACAAATGAAATAGCATGCAGAGACCAGATTTAAGCAATGTCACCGATACCCACCAAGAGGAGTATAAACAGACATAACTGTACAGCTGCCCAACATAAAACTTGTGGTTACTTTACGCCCTTTTTCACAAAGCTAAATTAGAAGAAACCTATGAAAATAGCCCATGCAAAGCTGGTCCCTATCAAAGCGAGGTCTGCAAAATTGCCTGGGAGGATATGCCCAAGTACACCCTATTTCTCCCTGTATGTGACCACAAAACCCACAGCCACATCAAAATGAATGAGTCATCCCTATTTCTAGGTGGCTTACATATAACCCTTTAAGACAGAATATTCACATTTACTTACTTAATGAAAGCGTCAGAATTGGCAGATTGAACATAGATGCATGCTAACATATATACAAAAATATGCACGTTAAATTTGGAGTTCTGGGGAGAAAAAACACCTTTGTCTGGGCTTACAATACAGTAGGACTCTAGAACCCATCAGAACTTTGAAATAAAGACATAAAATGAAACACTAGTGCAGTTGCTCCATAACACGCTGCATGATTCATGCAGAAATCTGATAAACGCTTGATTCCATGGATAAAAATAAAAGTGACTGACCTCTTGCCAAGTAAATAAAGTTCCAGACATATCCTTTATTGTGTCAGAGCAAAATCAAAATTGGAGGCCATAATTGCAGGCATGTAAATACACTCCTTGCTTATACCACAGGACAAAATACATATCCTCTGTCCTCAAAAAGAAAGTTGGGAAACTGGTAGTTTACACTGACCATGACAAAATTCAATAGAAGTTGAATGGCTTTGGACACTAACACTGTAGAGAATTGACTCAAAAAGCCATTAAAAAGATCAAGACAGATGTGCCTCAGCATTTTAAAATTCAATTCCCAAAACAGATGAAAAGAAAGAGGATGTAAGTCTAGAAAAAAAAGGAAACTATTCACAATTTAGTAACTCAAAATCAAGAAATTGCACAGGAGTGTCTAAGTTTCATAGCATACGCTGAATTTCTGATAGATTTTACAATCAATTCAAGAACTACATGCTTAATTTACAATAAAGCCATGGCTGTCCAACTTTCAGGCTTGCCTAGGTCACACTGAGTGAACAAGAATTGCTTTGGGTCACATACAAAATATATAATAAACTTAATATATGTAAGTAAGAAAACTTATTTTTTATGTATTTTCTTAATATATTTCCATTAAAACATCAAAAAAAAGAGCAACAAAACCATAAAACTAGTGGGATGTTTGACCTTATTTCTGTAAAACTAGTGCATCAGGCTGGCCCAATGGCAGTGGTTACCACTCCTAATGAGTTCTCAACGTGCTCATCAAAGATTTCTGATGAAATATTACTCTTCTTGTGCTTCATATTTGACAATAATTGTTCACAAATGTACATACTGCCAAAAGTGATGACACGAATAAGGTGTGACTGTGAAGTGAGAGGCATTTTTCTCTGGTGAGATAGGGCTTTATGAAAGTCAGGTAAAAGATACATGACCAAATTTTTTCTTTGCGTGGAATGTCTGATTGCAACTCTGTACGTTCCACGTGAAAATTTGCAGGTAATGTATTTATGTCAACCAAAAATGGAGTCACAAATATATATATATGTATAAAAAGATATATACATTTTTCTGAAATAATGAAATGCATTCTCAAATTTCTTTATCAAAATGGAAAGCAAAGCTGCACGTTTTTCACTGCTCACAGGACTGACCTCAACCAGTGTGTTAAAATGCATGAAATTATTTACCATCACTTGAGCTCGCCATAATTGGAAGTTTCATTTCAAACTCTGCTATTATCTGAAACACAGAACAGATAAGCTGATTTTCACCTTGAAGGCACATGTTTAACTCATGTAAATAAGTAGTCAAATCCATCAGAAATGCTAAATCTGGGAGCCATTTTTCATCTTCACGTTCTGGCACAAATTTTCCTTTTGATTCTTTAAAGGACTTGATTTCACTTTGCAAAGCCTTTTTAGCATTTTATCCTGACTTAGGCACCTTCCTTCAGAAAATTAAACGATGACCTAATAATCATTATCCATACTTCTAATGAGTTCCTAGAATTGGTGATGATTCAGTTTCTTGGACATTATGAAATTCACAGATTTGATGATGACTTGCATGACATTATCCATTTCTAAAGCTTTCATGCATACATTTTCTTGATGTCTGATGCAGTGATATTTCATCAAACCATTGCTGGGCCACCATCAGTAGCTATACCTGATATGTTGACTGAGGTTAAAGAAAATAGCTCTAAAGTATTTTTTTTTCTGCTTTGTATATATCATAGCTTTAGTTCAGTCTTTCAGTAGAGCTAAAGAAGCCATTTCTACAGTGACATTATATTCATTATCAGTATCTCTAATGAAAATAGCAAGTTGATTAGTATCAGTATTTTCATCTATCACCGAAGCATAAAATTTGAAGTTAGCAGCTTCACTTTCTAAATTTTTTTTAATAGATTTTCCTATTTCTCCAGTTCACCTGGATACAGTCTGGTGAGACATATTGATTTCAGAAAAAACAATTTATTGCTTTTATTTTTTTAATCAGGACACACATCTGCCATGCTTTCCATACACTGCTTTATAAATTCACCATCAGGAAATGCTTTCTTTTGCTACCATATAATTAACTTTTATAACAGAGTACATTTGTGATTTAATTCTTTTTTTTTAATATTTTGTTGAGATGACAAGACTACTTTCAGTTTCACTATTTTATCTTTATGTTCCTTGACATGCATTGAATTTGGCAGCATGTTTCTGCACACAATGTCTTTCCAAATTTCCATCTTTGAAAACTGATGCAATTTCCTCACATATTAAGCATAGGGTCACATGAGTTGTCAGCAACGCACTTTGCCCTCCCTGTGTCTCAGAGCAGGGCTGGGCCAAACTGTGAGACACAGGGGCCGCCATGATAATGACATGCTTGGAAAAAATTTTACCTTTAAAGGATGTATGCAATGTATTTCATGTATTTCTGACTCACATTAAACAGGCATGCAGGTTTTTTTATGCACTGCTTCTCGAAAGACACACACTATGCACCCCCGAACCTTGAAAGTGGTGGATCTGAAATAGAATTCAATGTTACCTCTGAGAGCCAAATGGAACAAATCAAGAAATATTGTTCTACTGAGAAAAGCTAGTTATTTTTAAGGATTCTATTAATACAATGCATCCTGGCAATACTTTGTCAAAAGAAAAGAAAAGTCTTAGTGATAGCTTGCATGAGTTAAACAAATGTGTCATCATTTCTTTCACCTGGGCATTTCTTATGAACAAAGTAAAGTTTATTAATTAATCACACTTTTTTTTTTTTGTTACCCTACTGAATTGCAAATTCCAGTAAACAAAGTGATTAAAATATCATGTTGCATTGTTTGTAGCTATAATTATAGCTCATTAGTCATGCCTTATATTTTGTAAAAGTCAGGAGGATCCCCAAAACACCAAAC